ACCTGTCTCATCAGGGTGCTCTGGGAATTAAATATATCAGGACAGGCTTAGCCCTTCAAGCAGTGCATGATATATAGGAAGCACCTCATACATTAAATTAGCCATTTCTCTCTTCACCAGCTCGCTCCTTGCCTTTGCCAGATGCAAATATCATGCCCAATATGCACTGTGGGCAGCCAACCAAATAAACAGAAGGAGGAGGACCTTTCCTTTCCTTGGGTCCTGGGATCATGTACGCATTGGAATTCTAGGTAGGAGGAGGCCTTCCTGCAACTTCTGGACACCCATCAGTCTGTGGGTTTCCACCCCCGACACTTGTCCAGTTTCCGAGATGCTTTAAAATTCAGTTCCACATTTAAAGCATGTCAAGCTGAATTTTAGTTTTAGTCTCTCTCACATATTTGGAATTAGAGACTCCAGAGGCTATTATGCAAAGCTATGCAAATGATATGTAAAGAGGCGATAGCCCCAGATTGTGGGGAGAAGAGCGAGCAGGCCAACACAAAGGGACTTGAATGAAAATTCGCATCTGTTAGGGGAGGCACAGGTTGAAGGCCTTGCACAGTTATTGTGACAGTATGCGCCCTTCCATTCAGTTATTAACCTTTTATGCCAAAGAGGAGAGGTAAAGTCACGTAGGATTTCCTTAGTGAAGGTGACAGTGGGGGTTGCAGGAGGTGTTTGTGCAGTGCAACATCATAACAATTTTTATGATGCAAATGAAAAGTTGCTTTGAAATAGTGGCTGTGGTCCAGACTGTGTCCCCAACCTGCTGTGTGTTCTTGGACAAGTCACTTCACTCCTTCCATTGCCCCCTCTCTGAAATGAGGGAATTTGATTAAGTTCCCACGATGGCCCCTCTCACTGTGACAGCTAAATGTCATCCTCCAAATGAAAACTTTTGGCACCCAGATGGCAATACCCATTCATTGTACCAAAGGTTTACTATGAAGTCTAAAGAAGGGCTGGGAGGTAACTTAACAGTCTTCCTAGAGAGAAAAATAACTTCACAGGATACTGATAACTTAAAAAAAGGGGAGGGGGGGCAAGAGAGGCAAACATTTATTTACACTGTAAGTCTTAGAGCAAGAAGGGTTGTAGTCATATATTTTCCAGCCGGGAGGATTTTAGCCCCTGGAATGCTGCTGGTGAGAAAGTCAGGAGAATTTCTTTCCCTGAGTATTTTAAAGACTAGGATGTGTTAACCCCTCTGCCTCTAGAGTGCTGCCAAAGTTCTTCCGGAGGCCAGGGTGGCTCCTCTCCCACCTGTCTCTCGCTTACAGGGTCTCTGTAAGCTTCGTGCTGCCCCAGCGCTGCGGCCAAAAGATTGCCATGTCCTTGGTCTCCGGTGTCTGATCGTCTCTAACACAGCTGGCGCTCTACCCCAGGAATCCGCTGGGCCCTTAACTGTAACTCCAACTGTTGCAGCAGCCACCAGCTGGGCACAGGCCTACCCTGACAGCCCCTCTGCCCAGGGCTTCTCTGACTAAGCCACATTGGCCATGGGCCTCATGCAGGAGTGAGGAATACAGAGGGACGAGCACCACTGGAGTAGCCCTGAGCCAGTGGAGATGGGAGTGATGTAGGAAGTGTTGGGGTTCGGAACCAACAGGCAAGAAAGAATTCTTGAGGGCGCCTGGGTGGCTCAGATGGTTAAGCGTCTGCTTTCGGCTCAGGTCATGATCCCAGGGTCCTGGGATCGAGTCCCACATCGGGCTCCCGGCTCAGCGGGGAGCCTGCTTCTCCCTCTGACCCTCGCCCCTCTCATGCTGTTTCTCGCTCGCTCGCTCTCTAAAAAATAAATAAAATCTTTAAAAAAAAAAAAAAAGAAAGAAAGAAAGAATTCTTGAGACGTCTTTGAAGCAAAAGGTGATTTTATGAAAGCACGGGGGCAGGATCTGTGGGCAGGAAGAGCTGCACTGGGGTTGTGATGGGTGACTGATTATATACTTTCAAGTTGAGAGGGGGTTAGGGATGGCACAAGCCTCCAGGGTATTTGGGAAGCAAGGTTTCCAAGATCCTAAGGGGGCTAGCCAGTGTTAGGAAAAGGTCATTTATTACTGTTTAGAAAAAACTCAGTCATGAGACCCTTCAGATGTATATCAGTGGGCCAAATGCTTGGAGGATGATTGCTAACTTGTATCTTGGGGGATAGAGACAACAGAAGTTTCCAAAGGAATTTTTATCTGTTAAAGAAGACTTACAGGATCCTGGGAGGGCAGGATAAGATTGCCTCTTGCCCTTAGCAAAGTATTAACATCGAGGCAGCTGAGTTCATAGGGGAATGTCACTGCCTGTTTCAAGGATTAGTCAATGGGCTGTAAGTAGTAAGGAAATTTAATTTTTCTTCTGCCCTTGTTTCCCACATCAGGAATTGCTGGGTAAGTGAGTGCTTCTCTCACATAGACAGTTTGAGGTGCAGTCTACTCAGCCCCTCAGAAGTCCCCAGCAAATACGAGTTGCTCGTCCTGATCAACTCATAACCTGCCCTCGGGTTGATGTTCTCTATCTGACTCATCTCAGACCCCCATGGTTGTCCCCTCGGATCACTTCGCGAAATACACTACCTGCACACAACTCTGCCTTTCCTTTTTCTGAGGGATCTCTAATGTAAGACACCTGTCTTAGCTCGGGCTGCCATAACAAAGTACCACAGGCTGGGGGTGCTTAAACAACAGAAATTTATTTTCCCCACAGTTCTGGAGGCTACAAGACCAAGATCAAGTTGCTAACAGGACTGGTTTCTGATGAGACCTCTCCCTTTGACTTGAAGATGGACACCTTCTCACCGTGTCCTCCCGTGGCCTCTCCTCTGTGTGCAAGCATCTCTGGTATCACTCTCTGTGTCTTAATCTCCTCTTCTTATAAAGACACCAGTCAGATTAGATTAGGGACCACCCTAATGGCCTCATTTAAACTTAATAACCTCTTTAAAGGCCCTATTGCCAAGTACACTGACATTCTGAGGTGCTAGGGGTTAGAGCTTCAACAAATGAATTTGGGGGACACACAGTTCAGTCTTTTAACACTTATACTGAACCAAGGGACTCATGAGCAAAACAGAGGCTTATAAGAGAATGTCCCTCAAAACATCAGAGATCAAGACTCCCAGCCCTAAGAAGAGATTGCCTCTGTGGTGTTCAGCTGCTCAAGAGAAGGGGTTGGAATAACCCTGAACCAGTCAGAGCATCGTGGCACAGCAACTTCCTGTCCTCTTTCTCCTCCTGCATCATTGGTGGTGGTTGATCGGGAAAAGCATGCATTTTAGATACTGCTCGGTTTCATATACTGCAGCTATGGTGGGACTTTAAACACATTTGTTAATCTACCTGAGATCTCACTTTCCTTCCCCGTCAAGTGGTTGTGAGGATTAAATCAAGCATGAAAGACTGGGCCAGAGCAGGTGCTCAGAAAACAGTTTTTAGGGTTGACTTGAATAAGCAGAGCTTACTGTTAATATATGGTTTAGATCACCAAAGAAAGTTTGGAAAAAAATAGGTGGCTTAGGGCAAATTGTTGGACCTAGAGACTGCGTGTGCTATACAGTCTGTTCAATCTCTTGTCCCTTGGCCTCCCTCCACCCGCTAATTTAGAAGTGCAAGGCGAGGGGAGCTGGTGCACGCTCAGACCCCACCCCACACCTAAGTCAGAGGTGGCTTCAGTGGTGATCCAGGGCCTGTTTCAAAGGCAGGCCAGGAGATGATCTCCCCTTCTTTGTTTCGAAACCTCACCAGGGCCCCTGCCTTCCTCGGTCAGCAACTTCGCTGACCATCCCAGATATGTAGAAATCACTGCCAGGACCCCTGCTTTGGCCATTCAGTGCTTGAATCTGGGGGGGCAGGGAGGCTCCCAAGGAGTTACGAGATAGAGACAGATCTCTACCATTGTCTGAGTGGCTGGCAGAGCTGAAGGAAGGGCATGAGAGTAACCAGGAAGGAGTACATAAGAAAAAGGAGGAGTTCACAGGTCAGAATCAGGCCTTAGAAGTCCATCAGGCCACTCCTCAGCAGTGGAGACCAGTTCCTCCTAGGCCATGTGTTGCGCCGGGGTGGCCAGTTTTCCAGTTTATAATCTGAACAGATCCTATGTCTCACATTTATACGAGATGTGTTATTTGTAAAGTTTGGCACATGCTATTATGATTAATAAATCCACATATATTTAGAAGTATTTTTAAATGTGCAGGTTTTTGTCCTTGTGCATTTCTCAATGAACTAAAAGCATACCGCTCAAAAGAGGTCCTCCTACTCAAAAGGCTGGGCATCACCAGTGATTTTCCACAGAGAGTTCAGCCACATGAGCACCATAGGGAAAGCAGTTAACATTAATGACAACCATAATACCAGCTGGCGTTCATGGAGTGCATCTTCTCTCCCAGGCTCTCTGCTAAGTGCTATATGCGCACCAGATCTGGTCACCCTCTGGACCCCTGTCCCCTTCGGCCTATCACTATCCTATAGCACTGAGATGTCTCTGCCTTGTTTTAAGATTGTTTGTGCACTTGTGTGAGCTCCCTCAGAGCCAGAGACTGCCCTGTTCATTTTTGTGCCCTCCAGTGTCAAGGAGAGGATAGAGACCCTCCTTACTTGTCCAGTGAATGGGACTGAATAAACAGAGGTCTGACCATTTGTGCCTCTGTCCAGTCCATAAATGGAATATTCAGGAAGGGCAGAAGAGTTGGTCAGCTCTGCCCACGTAAGCCTTGCACATTTGACTAAGGCTGGCTCACACAGAGCCGCCAGCCTGCCTTTGACCAACCTGACCTTGACCACTCCCTGGCCGCAGGGGGCAGCAGACACTCAGAGGCCATAATCCTTCCCACACCCGGCCCGGCCTGTTCTGAGAAGCTGCTCTTGGGCATCAGGGGGGCAGTGTGGACCTCCAGAATGATCCCAATGTTCCTTTTGTTCCCAGAGCTCCATAGGTTCATGGGTAAGGAAGGTCCAGGCTCTGAGCGACTCCCCAGGTATTTCACCTCTTCTCTCTGTCTTCCTCTCAAGGCTTCCTCCTGATCTTGGCACTGACCGAAGCACTGGTATTTGCCACCCAGGAACCATCTCCCAGAGAATCTCTTCAGGTCCTCCCCTCAGGCACCACCCCAGGCACCATGGTGACAGCATCCCTCAGCTCTACCAGACACTCTTCTGTGGCAACTGCCCCCACTTCTGTGGTCTCACTGACCCCCCAGCCTGATGGACCCTCCTCACAGGCTGCAGCTCCCATGGCAATGACAACGCCCCATCCAGATGGACACCCTCCTACAAACACCGTCTCTACCATCATGGCGACAGCAACCACCCCACAGTCTGAAGGCCCCCTGACCACAGGGCCCCTTCCTGCTGCCATGGAAACCACATCCTCCTACTCAGAGGGCCATCCCCAGGGGGAGGCTGCGCCCACCATCCTGCTGACAAAGCCAATGGAACCCACCAGCCGTCCTACCACAGCACCCACCCGGGCTACCACGCGCAGGCCTCCCAGGCCCCCAGGCTCTTCCCGAAAGGGGGCCAGCAATTCATCACGCTCTGTCTTGCCTGCACCCAGTGGCTACTCTGGGAGGAAGGAAGGCCAGTGGGGACGAAATCAGAGCTCCACACATCTGGGGCAGAAGCGGCCCCTGGGGAAAATCTTTCAGATCTACAAAGGCAACTTTACAGGGTCTATAGAACCTGACCCCTCCACCCTCACTCCCAGGAACCCACTCTGGGGTTATTCTTCCTTGCCACAGCCCCAGACAGTGGCCACAGCCATGGCACCCAGCAGGACCTCGTGGGCACTACCCACCACCCCCCTGGTGCCTGCAGAGGACAAGCCAGACCTTAGCAGAGCAGCCCAGGGGGGTGGTTCCACATTCACCAGCCAAGGAGGGGAGCTGGACACCACTGTAGCCTCAGGCGCCCCTGCCAGTCCACAACCTGCCCCAGTGCCTTCTCAGCGCCCCCACAGTGACCCACAGGATGGCCCCAGCCACAGTGACTCCTGGATTATTGTCACCCCTGACATCAACAGACCTCCATCTACCAGCCCTGGGGTCTTTCCAGCCACCGTAGGGCCCACGCAGGCTGCCTTCAATGCCAGTGTCTCAGCCCCTTCCAAGGGGACTCCTCAGGGAACATCCTCAACCTCGCAGGCCCCAGCCCACCCCACCGGGGCCTCAGAAAGCACTGTTTCCCAAGCCAAGGAGGAGGCTACAGCCACCCCCACCATGACCAACAGGGTACCCAGTCCTTTCTCCACAGTGGTGTCCACAGCCACAGGAAACTTCCTCAACCGCCTAGTCCCTGCCGGGACCTGGAAGCCTGGAACAGCAGGGAATATATCCCATGTGGCCGAAGGGGACAAACCCCAGCACAGAGCCACCATCTGCCTGAGCAAGATGGACATCGCCTGGGTGATCCTGGCCATCAGTGTGCCCATCTCCTCCTGCTGTAAGTGCCTCACCCTCTCCTCACTCCTCCCTTTTTCCCTCCTCTCCCTTTATCACATCCACTTGTCTGTCCCCAGAGTTCCTTTGCCCCAGACCTGGGAAGTCCCTACCAAGTAGGCTGCAAAACTTACCAGAATTATAGGAAACCAAGTGGCAGGACAAGAATCATGGGTTATCCCTACCCCTAGTCCTCAGCTCTGCCAGGCCATGGCTCAGATGCCCACTCATCATAAAGACAGAGCTCCCAGGAGTGGGGGAGAACCTTCCAAGTAGTCCAGTCCAGCTCTGCATTGTGCAGAAACACCAAGCTGGAGAGGTGCCATGGCTCGCCCAGGAGCCCAAAGTTAAGTGAGAGATAGGCCTGGGATGGAAGGTCACTGTCTTCCTGCCCAGTGCTCTTGTCATGACACCACCCTGCCACCCTCACCCTCAAGGGCAGCCTGCTAATGGCTGTAGGACATGGCACCAAGACACCGTAGGTGAACATTGGCACTTCTAAACATACAGCCTTCAAGTAGCAGAGCCCTCACCTTCCTCTCCTGCTTCACATCCATCTTTCTGCCTGTCTTTCCTCCCCTCCCTCATCTATTCTCTCCTGCTCTTTCTCTCTTTCTCCAAAAAAAGAGAGGGGGCTTTGATCTTGCAGGAATTTCTATTAGCCTTGGCAAAAGCAGCAGTTCCTATAGCTAAATTGAGAGCTTGAGAGTTACATGTGAATTTAGCTCTTCTCCTCCCCAGTTTTATTTGTTCATGGATGGTGTGAGCTGGATGCAGTGTGGACCTCATCATTGCTTCCACTGGTACTGGTGGAGAAGGGCTCTCCTCAGGCCACCAGCACCAGGCCACCAGCACCTCCTTGCTGCTGCCTGTCACTGCTTTAATGAGAATTTGAGAGGTCCTTCTCCCTGATGTCTCCATAAAGAACCTGCTATAATCACTCAGAACCTTAGGACTTCCTTTATGTCTTCCCCATGTACTTGATCCTAGATTCTTAGAGTTTCTCTAATAACCTCACAAAAATCCTAATTTTAGCTTCCCCCACCCCTACACAGTTATCATCTGGCCTCCTCCTGAACCCTTCCAGGGGTGAGAAACCCCCTGTGCCCTCAGTCATTGGACAGCCCATTCTCCTTTGACTCCCTCAGGTTGTTACCCAGCTTTCATGGAAGCCTGACGTTTGTCTCTGTAATTTCTACTCTATGGTCCTAAGCCCTCTGAAACCACACAAAACCAGTCTACCAACTCCTGAAACATTTGAAATGGTGCTCAAAGACAGCTTTTCCTTTTCTAAGCTGCTCATCCCTATTCCTTCAAGTCTCTTTATACGGCCGCATTGCCCTGGCCCTTCCCCATCATCTGCCACTCTGGATGACCACAAGTTTATCCCTGCTCTCCCAGAAGGGAGCATAGCATTCCACATGCCCAGCCATGGCAGAGGAGAGCAGATGGTGGTTCCTTTGTTCTGGACACTTCAGTCACACTCAGGAAGCCAACACGGGTATCAGTTCTGTTGGTTGCACTAGCTGTCACATCACACCATGAGCTCATCCTGATCTCGAGAGGAATGAGGCCCCAGAAACTTTCCACAGAGGAGGCTGTTAAGCCAGCTCTCCCAGCCCTTCCTCATACTATGGGTCATTTGAACACCAGTGTAGGAAGTATATGCCTTTAACAGAGCATAATTTCTACTTGGCATTGTACCAACAAGATCTTTTTTTTTTATTTAATTTTATCTTATTATGTTATGTTAGTCACCATACAATACATTATTAGTTTTTGATGTAGTGATCCATGACCAACAAGATCTTTTTAAATCTAGATTCTGGATTCTTTCGGAGAAGCCACCTCTGCCAGCTTTTTGTTTCTTTCTAGTTGACAAGCAAAGCCAACTTTCCATGTCAAAAGTAGGCAGCCTACTTCTGCTCAAGGACCCAATTCAGGAAAAGTGAAAATGTTTGCAGGTTGCATATTTTATTCATTCATTAAGTGCTTTTTTCATTTATTGTCTCTCATGGAAACCCACATGAATGCTTAAAACTGTGATTGTCCACTTCTAAAACAGAAGAATGATAATGAGAAAATGTAGACCTATTAGCTAATAAATTATTAATAGTGGTCATATTTGAGAAGTAACCACATTAGAGACAGCTTTCTAATTTTCCATTCTTTACGTGTCTCTAGAAGCTTTAGTTTACAAAGTTTCCCATTATTTTTAATCAATCCATCCTCAAAACAGATTAGCCAGAGGAATAAAAAACATAAACACACTATGCAAGGAACATACCTTATAGGCAGAGACTAAGTCACCAGGTGAATTGACTTGCCCAGGGTCCCAATCACATAAGTCAGCTCAGATCCGGTGGTAGAATCTGTCTGATTCAACACAGTATTTCCCAGGTGCATGCCAAGCACTAGGGAATCGAGATATACAATGTGGCTGCCTCCCCCAGCTCCCAGAGCCCTCTCCCCCCACTGGGCCTTTCTCTTTGCCTGAGCTGGACAGCACAGAGTAGATCTAGCCTTCACCCCACAGGCCACACCCACCTGTGTTTTACAGTTCTAAAAAGACTTCTACAGCCCTTTTTGCCATGTGTGAGTTTGAAATTAGATCTTACTGCAAAGCCAGAAAACCCATGCGCTGCCTAAACCATGCATAATAATGTCAGCCAAGACAGAAACAAGGACACGGCCTGGAACTGCACCTAGAGAATGCTCCCGGCACTCTGGAAGGAGCCTTCAGGTACTGGGATAGGACGTACTACTTTGTAAAGGAAGCTATGAACCCTTTGTTCAAAGTGGACTCTTGCAGCACCTTGGAACCACAGACTCCACGTCCTTCAGCATCTGTCTTGCATTCCCACTGTCCACATGGGAGGCTCCCCTAAGCCCTCACTCGCCAAGATCCCTGCCTTAGCCCTAGCTGCCCCCATATAAAGCTCCCTATCCTGACTCATGGCCCCAACTCCTGTGGGACCATCCTGTGGGGGCTCTGTGAAAGTCCTGATGCAAGAAACATCAAGATAGAATACTTGTCCAGCTCCAGAATACCGTGCTCTTTCAAAGCACAGATGAGTAAATATCCAGGCTGCTTTCATAGCCTAATCCCACTCCAGTCATCAGACAAGCAGACCTCTTCCAGCAGCTGCATTTATCCTAAAGCTCACTCTACTGCCCTCCAAGAAGGGTCTTCTTTGCCAGTTTGCCATATATTTCAGGCATCTGGGTTAGTAGCAAAGCGCATGCATAGATTTCCTCACATCTGGCTTTTCAGACCAGCCCTGACCTTGTCCCTGCTTTCCTCCATCTACCGGAAACCAGACTTCAGGTGGCCAGGCTTGCTAGGCAGATGGTTGAATCCCCTGCTTCTGTTGGAAGCAAGGGGTGATCATAGCAAATCTCAGGCCTGCCCAAGAAGGGCTGTCATCAGTTCCACCAACCCTTCCAGATCTTGAGCCCCACCCAATGGCCAGAAGGATATATGTGCTAGGACTGAGAAATGCTTTGTCTCCTGAGCCATGCCAGAGACAGCCACATAGGGGTTCAGATGTGCTGAAAACCGAAACTGATCGGATCCGGGCCACATTTGGCTGGGGCAGAGGAACCACGTGGCTCTTGAGCTGGTCTCTGCTGCCACCATCAGGATGCAAAGAGCCCACCACCTCCTGTTAGAACCCCTGCGCCTGGCACGGAATTGGTCCTCGCCCACCCCGGCACGGAATTGGTCCTCGCCCACCCCTGTCAGTGCATTGGGCTTTCATCAGGAGGTCAGTTTTGTGGCTCTGCCAAGCTTCCTGGCCTCTCCTGCATATACCACATCCATTCTCAAGAATGTCTTCACCCTGCCTCCCTGAAAAAGATGAAAGCCTTTATGGATGGTGAGAACAGTAACCAGGCCAGCTGCAGATGTTTTTCATCACCAATCTAAGTTGAGCCTGGTGAAGCAGAGTAGCACCTCTTTCTGCCCCCAGATATGTGAGGGTCCATGCGCACTGCGCCCCAGAGCATTCTGGCTTCCTTCCAGACATGCAGTTAATGCCATTAGATATATGTCTCTTACAGGCCCAAAATGACTTTGTAGTTATTACATAAGAAAACATGGGTCAGAGTTACTCTTTCCATGAAGGAGTAGAATAAATTGGAATGAGAAGGAAGTGTGACCAAGAGTGTGGAAGGGAGTATGTCTCCTTGGGGCTTATGAACTAACTGAAGCAACGAGGATGGGGAGTAGGCTCAGAGCCAGGCAGGGTTGTCCAGGGACTGTCACCTCAGCTGCACCAGAGTACCATGCTCTCACAGCTCTTCTCTGTGCTTCCCAACCAGCACCCCCTGCTGGGAGCCTTCTAGTCCCACCCACCAGGATGGGGAGCCAGATAGCCCCCAAACCTGGTTTCTCCAGGCCTATAGCCTCATGTCCAACCTGGCCTCCTTCCATATCCTGAGGCCTCCCTGAGCCTCCTTTCCCAACCCCAAAGTAGGGAAGTGATTGTCCACAGGCTGGGCTGGTCCCTCAGGCTGGCACCACTGGACCAATCCTCCCTTCCAGGATTTCAGTTTTCTCATTTTCAAAATCAAGGAGTCAAACTGAAATATGTTACAACTACCTGTCTTCTAACTTTTTTTTTTAACATTAAACCTGCATAAATCACTGGAGAAGAGGCCTGGTATGACAGAAAGGCTTGGCTCGTGGAATCAAATGTGTCACAGCCTCTCTCTTGCTGGCCACTTGTGGGGCGTGGGCACGTTACTTAACCATTGGTCCAATGTCTTCTCACCTATAAAAACAGGACTAGTATCCACTGTGTTAGCTCAGGGCCTTCAAGAGGCAGATGCCAGGGGCACCTGGGTGGCTCAGTCGGTTAAGCATCTGACCCTTGATTTCAGCTCAGGTCACGATCTTGGGGTCATGAGATCAAGCCCTGCATTGGGCTCTGCACTGAGCATGCTGCCCACTTGGGATTCTCTCTCTCCTCCCTCTCCCCCTCCCTGCTCACTCTTTCTCCTTCCCTCTCTCTTAAAAAAAAAAAAAAGAGGCAGATGACAGCATGGGCTTGTGTTTGCACAGAGTTGTGTCATTTACAAAGTGCTTCCCCATGCCTCAGATGTGTTCCCTGCAGGGTTCAGGGCAATATAAGACAACAAGCATCACCCTGAGGGTCACAAAGACCCAGGTCAAGTTCCATTAATTACCTGAGTGATCAAGATCAATTTTGTTAACTTCCCTGAGCTTCATTTGCCTCTTCTGCAAAGAAGAAGAGTAACAGTACATTCCTCAGACAGCTATTTTGTGGGTTAAATCAGACCGAAAGTGCCTACGTCAGCGCTGGGCATATATTGAGACTCCATAAGTCTGAATCGTACTTTTTCTTGGATGTAAGGTCAGGCCACCAAAATAATGAAAGTTCTAAATCACAGGTGGTCCCTTGGCCTTGAGCCACTCAGTAGTCATGTAGCCCAGTTTTTCTTTCTCTTGTGGAGGGTACTGAAAGAACAAGAAGAAAACTCTCATTAAATAAGCACTGACTGTGCATCAGGCAGTGTGCTCAGCATTTTGCATTCATGATCTCTAGCTCTCATGACAGCCCTGTGAGTCCATAGTAGTCAAGTGCGATGAAATGACTTACCTAATGTAACGCGCAGCAGAGTCAGACTTGAACCAAGGCCTTTTGGACTCCACGCCCAAGCTCTTTCTACGGCCAGGCAAGCTTCTATTGTAAATGAAAGGGCACTTGAGAGGTACTGGGAATTCCCGGAGAGAAACATTCAGGCCTGGAGCACTAACAATATTCGAGGGGAGAAAGCTAGGAACAGAGTTCCCTGTTCCAACCCCCAGACCATCCTGCAACAGGGCCAGCCCTTCCCACAAGGCAGGGTCCTGGTCCCATGTCCCAAACAGGCCCAGGCTCTGGAGCCAGGGGCAGTGTGGGCTTGAGGGGGCACTGGGCTGGGGGTCAGAGGACCCAGACTCTGCAGCTTGTCAGTGCAGGCTAGCAGCATTATGGCCTCTGTTTCACGAGTTTGAATCCCCCCAGGCCATTTCAGCACCCCAGCTCCAGGAGCAGGATGGAAGGGTAGTGACAATGAAGAATAAAGATGCCAGAAAGGGGGGAGTCTTGCCCCAGCCCAGCCATTCACGGACCTGTGACCTATGGCAAGTCAGCTGGATGCTTTGGACCAGTCATCTCATCTGTAAAATAAGGAGATGCCCTAAATTAGCAGATTTTCAGGCTGAGTTCTGCATCTCCCCCTCCTCACCCCCATTCATCCTTCAATCACCTCCTTCTTTGGAAGGAAGGGAATGAAGAAAAAAGGAGAACTTGAGTTTGGAAATTTTTCAAAATTTTAAAGTCTATACCAGCCAGTCTAAAATTTCTTTTAGCTCAAACATTCAGAAATGTCCTTTCTATCTTTAAAACTTTTTTAAGGGTACCTAGAAAAGTAATGAGCAAATTAGAAGCCTTTCAAAGCAGATTGGATCAGTAGAAACTTGCCCAATCTCTTGCCTTTGCCTGGAAGCCTTTTCAGGTTGAGGTGCCAGCAAGGCCAGCAGCTGAGAAGAGAACTACAGAATTCCTGTGTCATCCCACAGGGACTGAAGGGGTGGGCCTGAGGTCTCAGCCTATATGGGTGACAGCTTCGGCAAATACCCCACACCGTGGCATGTTCAAGCCCCCCCACCCCCACCCCCCAATGCTGGCCAAATCCTCAGGCTGCTGTGGGCAGAGCTGGCACTCTGCTGCCCCCTGGTAGTCATTGCCATCACGGTGCTGGCCTCTGAACTGCTGGATCTGGGGTCCCCTCCCCCCAGCACAGATGGTTGGCACCTCCAAGATGTTGAGTGCAGCCCTGCCCACCCCTGGCCTGGAGTTTCAGCCGCCCCACAGGCTGTGGTGATGGTAAGCCTGGCAGGGAGATGCCCAATCTTCATTTACTGGCTTCTCCCCAAGAAGGCAACTGTCATCCTTGTCAAAGGATCACCCACTGCACTCTGTGAGCCTGGACAGGCCACCTTACCTCCCCAATCTCAGAAGCCTTCCCTCTTGGCAAGCCGAAGCCCCTGTGTTCCCACACCTGGTTCGTTAGCAACATCCAAATATACTCATTCCCTCCCTGGAGCCCTCAGAGTAAGTCTCAGAGATTGGACAGACAGGGTCGCACATTAAGGTCACCTCAGGAAAGCCTTTCATGATCACCCTAAAGCATTCTCTCCCCAACTCCTCTCCATTGTCTCTCTCACTTCACCCTATTTTATTTTCTTTGAACAATTATTGCTATCTGAATTTACCTTATATTCATTTTATTTATTATAGATCATGTGACCCCCTCTGTGCCCCTCCATACACAAACTCAGAGGGATGTTTATGACACAAGACAGCCTTGTCTTTTTTTCACTCTCTCTCTCTCCTGGAACCTGGCCCAAAGTTGGCATTTGATGTATGTAGATAATTGTTGAACCAACAAACAAATTAACAAATGGGGTAAGTGGGTGAATATATGACCATCACAGACCTACCTGGAAACTTGCATCTGTCACTCAGCAATGCTGGCTCCTTGCTTGTCTCCCTCCCCTCTCTGACTTGGACTCTCTCTACAGCTGTCTTGCTGACAGTGTGCTGTCTGAGGAGGAAGAAAAAGACGGCCAACCCCGAGAACAACCTGAGCTACTGGAACAATGCCATCACCATGGACTACTTCAACAAGCATGCTGTGGAGTTACCAAGGGAGATCCAGTCCCTTGAAACCTCTGAGGTAATGAGCCCCAAACCAAGGGGTGCCCCTGGAAGGTCCGGCCCCACCACAGGGAATAGCACGGGCTCCAGAGTAAGCCGTGGAGCATCTGCTTGCTTCTTAGTGTCTTGCTCCTCAAAGGATGGTCCACAGACCAGTAGCAGCAGTGCCCAGGAAACTACAGGCCGCACCCCAGCCCTACTGAATCAATCTGTATTTTAGCAAGAATTCCCAGGTGCTTTCTGTGCAAGTTAAGTTCGGGAAGCACCATTCTTGGGACCCCGGGTTGCTGGAAACAATTCAGTAAGTATTCGTTGAGAACCCATTTTGTGGCAGGCAGTCTCTGGGGATTATGAAGGTGAGAGCTTGCTCTCAGGGGGCCCAGATTCCAAGATGTGGTTGAGGTATGAGCCCCAAGCATCATTCAAAAGCAAACAAACTAGGGGAGATACAAGAAGAGTTGCAGAGAGCTGTAGAAACCGAGAAGAAAGCCTTCGCAGTGGGGGTTAGGAAGGATAAATGGATTTTAACAGGTATTCCAGCAAAGGAGGTAACCTGAATAAAGGTGGGAATGTGGGCTGCACACAGCATATCATGGGAGAACAGAATACGTTGGGTCAGGAAGTGTTGCCCAAAACACCCATCTGGCCAGTGAGAGAGCTAGGCCGGTAGGAGACCGGGTGTTCCCTCCACTCTCACACAGAAGGTGAGGCAGAGGCCAGGGCACAGCAGGAAAGGGAGATTGATTAGGAGTGGGCCTGAGTGGGCTTGAATGGAGTTTATACTTCAGTCTTGGGCAGCGGAGGGTCATTGAAAGTTTTGAGCTTTGTGTGACCTAGTTTTAGAAAGATTGTGCTGATGGCCTGGTGAAGGTACTCTGTATGTGATTAGTGAATGGATAGGAAGGAGAGGAAGGGTGGTTTAATGCATGAATGAATGGATGGAAGGACAGGCAGGAAGACAGATTCAAAATAAGTAGGCTAGCTGGAATGTAATCGAGATGGCCCAGAAGAAAGATGGCAGACATATGAGTAAAAGCAGTGAGAGCTGAGAAGAGTTCTTCTGGAGAAAGTCCCTTCTTCCCCTGCGGATCCATCCCCCACTGCAGCCAGGGTGGGCTTTTATAAACATAAATGTGATCACGTCACTCCCAGACTCAGAACCCTTCAGTAGCTTCCTGATGCTCTTAAGTTCACAGTCTTCTGCAGGGCCTGTGAGGTGGGCCTGGCCCAACTGTCCACACTCATGTCGTGCCACTCTCCGTCTCATCTGCTGAGCTCCAGCCACACTGGATTTCTTTTCATATCTTTATGACACCCAAGTTACATCCCATTCTAGGGCTGTGCAGGACTGTTCCTTCTGCTGGAATGTCTTCTGTCCCTGCCCAGCACTCCTTCACCCATCATTCAGGCCCAGTCTGTCACTTCCTCAGAGAGGCCTTCCCTGACCTGCCAGGCTGGGTTCTGCTCTCCTATCATATGGTCTCAGCTCCTTATGCTTTATGCTTTTCCATCATGGCACTTACCAGAGTTGTAAGGATATAGCTGCTGGCCTGGTATTAGTTTAATATTTCACTCCCCAGCTAGAATACCCAGTTGCTTCCACATTGTGAAACCCAGAGGTTGGTTCTAAGCATATCTCTTATTCGATCTATCAGCAGCATCAGCACCATCAGTCATTTCCTCCTCAGAAAGTTTCTCTGTCTTCACCCCATCCGGTCCTGGCTCCCCCCACCTTTCAGCAGCTCCTTCTCAGTCTCCATCACTGACTTCCCGTTCTTTTGCCAGCCTCTAATCACTGCAGTGCCCGGGCTCAGTCTTCCCACTGCTTCTCTTCTCTCTCTCCTTAGTTTCATGACTTTAAATACTATCTCTGCACCATTGACTTGCAATTTCCATCCCTGGCCTTGACATTTCCCCTGCATCCCAACTCATGTACCCAGCTACTGCCATGCATGTCTAGTGGGCATCTCAAATTCAATATGCCCAAGATTGAACTGTTGACTTCCCCTCCCCGCCCAAATACCCAGAAGTTCCCTGGTGTTTCTCATTACGTGGATGGCACTGCCAGCCACCTTTTCCTCTCACACTCCACATCCAGTCTATCAGTAGATCCTCTTGGTTCTTCCTACATAGGAGCATTTTTCACCACCTGCACTAGTGCCTCCCTCAAATCATGGATTGCTGCAGTAACTTCTGAAAACAAGGTCTCTGCTACCGTCTTGCCTCTGGTAGTGTGTCCTCCACACAGTACCCAGATGATCTTCTCAAGAAAGGGCTTCATGTCTGCCATGGCTCCCAGCCGTCAAGTGGCTCCTCTTCACACTTTGAATAAAATCCGGATTCGTCTTACCAGACCCTTCATAGGCTGGCCCCTGCCCACCTCCCTGGCCACCTCCTGCCAGACCTTCCATTGACTACACACTTGAGCCACACCGGCCTTTGGCTCTTCCTCAACACAGTCCTTCCAACAACACAAGATTGTTCTCGCACCTATGTAAGATGCTCTTTCCCTGGTTCCATCCTTCACTTCTTTCGGGTCTCTGTTCCAGTGCTGCCTCTTCAGGAAAGCTTTCCCTGACTTCTCTATATAGAGTAGAAGCCCACCCTCCACCCCATGGTTTTCTATCCTCTTTTCTGCTTTATTTTCCTTCAGAGCACTTCTCACCACCTGCTATTGTATCATTCTCTGTTGACTGGCCCTTTCTCTGTCTCTCCTACTAGAATATAAGCTGCCTGAGGGCAGAAGTTTGTTCTGCTCACTGCTCTATCCCTAGCACCTAGAACAGTGCCCAGAACATGGTATGTACTTGCTAAATGTTTATCACATGAATGAACCATAAGTTTTATTCACAGTTGACCCATCACCCAGCCCAAAGCCTAACACACAGTGGATGCTCAATAAAAATGTTGAACTGAAAGAGCAACAGGCTTCATGAAAGCATTGACCTTTAGTATGGCCAGTATAAATCTTGCATAGCAAAATTAGCAACTACGCTTACTGTGGTGAGCATTTCATAATGTACATAATTGTCAAATGACTATGTTGTACACCTGAAACCAATATAATATTGTATGTCAACTACACTTCAATAAAAAATAAAAATGTTCTGGGGCGCCTGGGTAGCTCAGTCGTTAAGCTTCTGCCTTTGGCTTGGGTCATGATCTCAGGGTCCTGGGATCGAGCCCCGCATCGGGCTCCCTGCTCAGCGGGAAGCCTGCTTCTCCCTCTCCCACTCCCCCTGCTTGTGTTCCCTCTCCCTCTGTCTCTCTCTCTGTCAGATAAATAAATTTAAAAATCTCGAAAAAAAGATAAAAATGTTTTAAAAAGTGTTCCTGAGAACTATTCTAGTGAGTGAAAAAAATGAGTAAGTTGGCAAAGGGGCTGGCCACGCTTTGAGTGTGGCTTGTGAATCTCTGAACTCTAAATTTCTCATACTGTCTTTGCAAACTGGTAAATAAAAACCAAAGCCAAAGGACAGTGTCTGTGAGCTTACTATAGAAAAGGCTCTGCTTATGCAGCATCCCAGTTAGTCATTCCAGCCCAAAGCACTGGGGCTGCCATCGGACAGAAGCCAGAGGTTCTGGTAGAGCTGCCCCCTGCAGTCACCATCCCAGGTCAGGAGGTTACAGGAGAACCAGCAGCAGGAAGGTCAGTTTGGCTTCAGAATGAGTTTTATCACTATTTCCCTCCCAGCAGGTCTGCTGCCCTCATTCTGCTTTATTTAGAGTAATGTTACAATTTGTTCCAACTCTCTGGGCACACGCAGGCCCTACAGACCACCCATAGCGTGGTCATGCGGTCCCAGGGCGTCTGCCCTGCACTCCACAGCCTGGGGCTGCACTCACCGCCTGCCCTGTAGCTGCCAACTCTGGTGGCTGCCAAGTGCTTTGCCTAAGCAAGTTTCTCTGGTGCCCTGCTCCCCTTCTGGGTTGATGAAAGCAGCAAAACACAAATCCAGGCTGTACAGGCAAAATTGTGATGCCCAAAACATGCCTGGAAATTTTTCCATACCTTTCCCCCCACCTTCCTTCCCTTCCTCCTCCTCTTCTTTTTTTCTTTTTTCTTGTCTGTCATTTTCTGAGTAACTTTCTCTTTTACACTGCAGGAAGTGTCCACATGGTTCATTCACCCTTGGTGAACACTTGCTTTGTAAGAACTATAAAATGACATGCCAGAGCTCAGCCTCCAAAATTTCCCTCCACAGCTCAACCCAAAGCCCAGTGGAGAAAGGGGATGCCCTGTTTTCCTTACTCAGAGGGCTGACCCCCTGTCTAACTCTCAGATGGACACTCAATCAATTCCAGACATTGAAGAAAATCTTCTGAAAAGACATTTCACCAACAAATGGCCTTTCTTCCTTTCTCTCCTTATTATCCATAAGGCAATATGTACTCCTCAAAAATTATACATGTTTTGCTTAAAATAAACTTCAGAGAATTAACTGTATCTTCTTCAAGTGAAGACAACTAAGCAAGTCTGGCTTAAAACAGTTCAACCTTGGCATATTACTGAGTCTTTGGTAGCGTATAGGTTCTGAGACATCAAGTTTTTTTTTTAGAATTGGAACAAGCTATGACTTTTTTTTTTTTTTCTTCCTCAAGTAATACCTGGGCCTGAGTCTGAGTACAGATGTTTAATGGACCACAAATGTTTGCAGTCCTTGTTACTTGAGGCCAAAACCGTTCAGACGACCTAATCAGTGAATTGCCTATCTCTAGGCTTGTTCATTTCTGAGGCTGTGTATACAGACTGAATTTTTCACTTACCACCTACTGTCACGTAGAGATTCACATCTGTTCACGTCAGCACATCTAGTGCTACAAGAAATGGGGCAATAATTCTGACCAAGCTCTGGGAGGACTCAGAAGGAGGAGGAATGAGCCCCTGAAGGCTCAGACAGGTAGGTGGTAGGAGAGGAAAGAGGTGAGAAGTGTAGGGTGTGAAAGTGCAGGCAGGAAAAGCCGCCAGGTCTCCCAGAGATCTGTGAGAAAGAGGCAGGAAGGAGAGTCTGGGGCCCACACAGACCCAGTTTTGCCCACGAGCGCAGTGAGCCCTGCGCTGTGTGTCGCGCATGGCAAGCCCTCTCAGACTTCTACCCGGAGAGCAATGCCGTCTCTGGCAACCTGAGCTGGGAGTCATTCAGGGAGCAGGAAATCTTTTCCAGAAGCTGCTATAAAAATCTGAAAGAAGAGCAGAGAGGGCTCTGCACCTCAGCATTGGCAGTGAGGGTGATGAAAATGTTTATGGAGCCAATCCCATGTGGAAATGGATGTCCTCATGTGTATTTCTTTATGAATGGCCACCACCTGAACCCTCCGAGTACATACTATCTCCTCCCTCTCTCCTCCCAGGACCAGCTTTCGGAGCCCCGATCCCCAGCCAACGGCGACTACAGAGACACTGGGATGGTCCTCGTCAACCCCTTCTGCCAAGAAACACTGTTTGTGGGAAGTGATCAAGTATCGGAGATCTAACCACAGCAGCCCTCGCTTTGCTGTTCCCTACCTTTCGTCTCTAAATTATAAATACACAAATATATATTATAAATATAATCTTTGTGTAACCCTGACTTAATAAGAAACATTTTCAGCTTTTTTTTCCTAAGAATTGTCAACATCTTTTTTATAAGTGTGGTTTAAAAAAAAAAAAAAACTTTACCGAATGATCTGTGGCTTTATAAAAATAAAGGTATTTCTAAGCAAAGCAGTTGCATTGATTACTTCTCTTAATAACTGTCCTTGAGCATTTGGGGGTCCCAACAGCCCCAGGCAGGTGAAGGAAGAGACAGACCTATGGAAGTGAAATGTTAAAATGGTCAAGAGCATGGCCCTTTGAGTGCTTCTTAAAGTTCCAGCTCTTCTTGATTCAGTGGGACCCCAATGCCTCCCCCTCCTTATGCACACCAGTGAAGGCAACTGGGCCTCCTAGGGAGAAGCAGCAGACTTGCGCACAGGGCAGGAAAAGGGAACATCTCATCACTCCAGTGGATGAGTATCCTGCCCCCTCACAGTGGCACCACTGGCTGTCAAGGCTAATTCCATGAGTTCAGGACAGCAGGCAAGAGCACGCCGCCCTCAAGAGTCTGTGGAGGATGTCAGGCACCCCAAGGCCACATCCCCCAACATCACATGACAGAGAGCTTCCACTGTGCTAAACAACAGGACTGCCTTGCCCTGATGGACAAAAAAGGCCCCCGCTTAAGCACATTCCTGCATCCTCTCCAACACCCACATCTGCTTTCAAACTCGTGCCTTTCTCTGGAGATGGTTTAGATGTGGATCCTAACCCTGGAGCTTGGGAATGCTTGCCCTTCTTCAAGGATCAAATGTTTATTGGGGTTTAGCTTTGTTTTCTCAAAAAGCATCGCATTGTGCCCCTTGAGGAACATGCTTATGTAAAAGGCCTTGAAGCGTGGAGCTGTACTTTTCTAAACCCTCCTGCAATCTTACAAAAACAACATTGCCAAAGTGGATCGCTTGGGAGAAGACATCATTACATCCCTCCTTGGCGCTGTAGACCTGCTCGTGGGTCCGCAGGTGGGCTTGCCACCCAGCGCTCCTTTCCCAGTCTCCCCTGCACGGCCGCCTTCACCGGTGGTGGGCCAGCCACCTCCCCCAGCCCACACTCAGGAGAGGTCAGACCCGCAAAGACGCACCAGGGGCTTCCACAGATGGCTGCTTCTTACCTTTTCTCCTAGTAGATAGTGGTGGGGAGAGAAGAGAACTGCTTTGACTCTTTCTCTAAAAGAAAATTAGTTTGATAGTATATTTTGAATATAGATGTACTTATAGTCAGATTGGGAGTTGACTTGAATGTTGATTCATATGTTTGTGTTGTTACTGTGGTCTTTTTATCATAACTTTTTCCTTTCTTCCTACGTTTCCTTTTAAAAGAAGATGGCCTTCAAAAATGTGTGTTCTCAGTGTTGTATGGATCTACTTAACATGAGTTTGGTGGTTGTCTCTCTTTCAAGACACTTCAACCCATGAGGAAGCAGGTTAAATGTTGCTCTGAGATTCATTTGCCAGCGAGCTGCTGTCTGACCTTTTAACCTTATATTTCTGTCAGCTATTGCATTTACTATAGCAATGTGTGTGCGTATATAAAGAAATCTGTTTGTAAAGTAAAATTATATATAACATATGTAATCAAAGATACATATGTTATATATATATATGTGGATGTATGACTTATTTTTCCTTATCCACAGAATTCAACTACCATGTATATATAAATAAACTTATTTTGTTAGCCAGAGGATTAAGTTGCTAACACATTTTGCATTCTTTTCATTTTAAAATAACTTTTAAGTCTTCCTTAAGGACCGACACTGCTTAATGTTCATCTATATTTTTTAATCTATTTTAACAATAGGTTGGGTTTTATGAGTGTAATGAGCTAACAAGATTAGCAATTCGTCACTTGATTATACAAATCCTTTAGAACATGTTTGTGATTTCTCCAAAAGAGAGTCATCTCTCTTTAGGTCTTTGGAAACATTGGTGTCATGTAAGGGATATCCCTTCTCTCTCCTCTTCCTCGCCCAGGGATGGGGGTTTGGCTATACATATCTTTGGGTCAGAGAAAGCTGCAGTTTACCTGGCCACTGAGAATTATCATTCTGTAGAGAATAACAGTTCGTAAGCATGACCCCTGTGCAAAACACTTAATCAGTATCTTGAACCCTTCATTTAGCCTCGGATGATACACCTTGGAATTCCTACAGCTCCTCGAGATCCAGTGTTAGGAGGATGTTATTATAACAGTCTGCTGGGTGCCATGGGCCCTACAGGGTGTACCAGAGGTGGACGTCTAAATAAATAAGGGACACTGCCAGCTTTTACTTGATCAAGTTGGTTCCTTAATCTGTTAATCATATAACCAACAATGATATTTATGAAGTATCTTCTATGTCATCTCAAATAGACAAAGTAGAAGGGGAAAAAAAGGTTGTGGTGTCTTTTTTTTTTTTTTTTTAAGATTTTATTTATTTATTTGACAGAGAGAGACACAGCGAGAGAGGGAACACAAGCAGGGGGAGTGGGAGAGGGAGAAGCAGGCTCCCCACGGAGCAGGGAGCCCTCTGCGGGGCTTGATCCCAGGACCCTGGGACCATGACCCAAGCTGAAGGCAGACGCTTAACCGACTGAGCCACCCAGGTGCCCCCAAAAGTTGTGGTGTCTTAATCAGCAAGGAAGAGCACATAGAATATTCCAGTAGGTAATCGTAGTTTTGAACTCTGCTTGTGTAACTTTGAATAGTACCCTAGTTCTCTAAGTGTTGGGAGACAGAGGGGTTCCTAGATAAGTCGCTGGACTAGGAGTCAGAAGAGGCCTTCTCATCCCAGCTTTGCTACTTTCTGGACAGGGGACCTTGGACGAGTCATTGGAGCTTTCAGGGTCCTCATCACATAAGGAGTTAATAACCCATCATCTGACATGTGATGATATTTCTGAGGTTGTGCAGTGCACAGCCCGAGTAGTAGTACATGTCAACCTTCTATCTACTTCCTCAGGTTGAATTGAGAATTCAATGAAATAAAGTATGGAAACCATATACAACACTAGGATGGATTCAGTACATACTAGAAGTTGACCCCCTTCCCCTTCTTTCACTTGAGGTATGTTCCCATGTTGCAGGATTTGGGATAAATATCCAGCTCTGGGTTTTGGCTACTTGGTTTCTCTGGTATACAGCTTAAGTGCAGTGGGTTTTTGGTCCATTTTGTTATCTCAGAAGATCTTTTCTAGACTTGGAAAAGTATTCAAGATGTGACCATAACAACATGCCTTAGTAGATGCTGACAGTAGGAATTAAAACCCAAGGGGTGTCATTAAATCCTAATTTGAAACACCCTTAAAGAGCTTACTGGGAAACCCTTGCTTTGTTCTTATTTATTAGTTTTCTGGCAAATGGAGAAACAGAAGTGTACAGAACAGCTACAGCATAATAGGTGCCCAGCATGTGTGGGACCTGAATTTGCCCAGGTTCCCTTGTCTAGTGCTTTAGAGAAAGCTTAGACCAGTGCATGGAAAGTAAGGTCCAGAGAAGTGGAGCAACATGGCCAAGGTCAAGCAGCTGATAACAGCAGTGTTCGAGGTAAGAAAAATGCCACAGAAGGACCTGAAGCTGCCAGGACTGAGGGAGGGTGAGGGAAGCAACAGGCTTCATTTGTTTCTCTTGAGTTCATGGGGCTACCTCCCACCATGGGCGGTTCACACCCGTTTCCAGCGTCTGTCATCTGTGTGGACATGCATGCACATTCACACATTCACATACACAGCACACACAAGGATGTAGAAAGCTCTGAAATTGGCCCTGGAACACCTGGATTCAGTTCTGGCTCAGCCACTCACTACACTTGTAATCTGGTCTCTGAGCCTCAGTTCATTCATCTGTGAAATGGGGCTGCTTAATGCCTGCATTGCCCTCTCTTAGGTAGTGAACTACACAGACCCAGATGAGCCACCTCCACAGCCTGCACTGATCCAGCCTCCCCCACCACCAGTGGAAACATCTGGGAGGTCAGACACATGACTTTGCAGAGAATGCATGAGTGCCTTTCTGCACTCAGCCCTGGGCAGGGCCCATTTCTCTTTCAGCTCAGTGAATGGTGGAAGCTCATGGAAAACAGCAGACAAAGCAACCCTGGGGATAGGGGAGCTTCCAGAGAGGCCCACAACCGGACCACACAGACACTGGGGCTGGAAACCAAAAGCCACTAGGCTCTGTAAACCCACTAGGCAGAGCAGAGGCAGAAGGGAAGATGAGCACAAGGCGGGTGGTGGTGGACATGCCCACCGGGGCCAGCCCCAGCATGCCCCTCCAGAGGCATAGGGCATCCTTCGGGGGAACATGGTCATCATCCTCCCTGGATAGCCCCACAGCCTCCAGGACCAATGCCATGGGTGGTCTCATCCGAGCACCCAGAGTCTATGTAGGGATGGCGCCCAGTGGGTATGCAAGTGGCCTGGGCACACGAGTGACACGCCGGGCCCTGGGCATCAGCAGTGTTTTCTTGCAGGGCCTGTGGAGCTCAGGTCTGGCCACAGCACCAGCTCCGGGTCTGGAGAAGAACCTCAGTACCGTTGAAGACCTGGGGGCTTGCCTGGTGGAATACATGGCCAAGATCCATGCCCTCGAGAACGTCAGCCAGGAGCTAGAGTCACAACTGCGGATGCACCTAGAGAGCAAGGCCACACGCTCGGAAAGATGGGGTGCCCTCAGGGCCTCCTGGGCCAGCAGCTGCCAGCAGGTGAGTGCCTGGACCATGCCCACGGGCTTTGCATAGGGCCAGGAGAGGATGCCGACATCCGCCCGAGGGGTCATTATCAGAGAGCAAGAATGCTGAGGCAGGGGCAGGGGAGTGAATGGTCTGAGACCAAAGAAACTAACTATAACCTCTCATCCTTTCATGCTAAAAAATTCTAATAACGATGAAAACAATAACGACAGCTACCATTCACTGACGTAGACTACGGGCCAGGCCCACAATAATCCCTGCACACGCACTATCTCCTATGTTCAAAGCAATGCTATGCAGGTGCTCATTCACTGATCACATTTTTCAGATGAGAAAACGGAGGCACAAAGGAATTATGTAATTTGCCTAAGATCATGCGGCCTGCAGGGAAGCTGAGCTTTCAGCCTGAATTTTTCCAGTTCCAGGGCTTGCATTTGTCCCATTACCTTGAGCTTGCTCT